CCCCCCCCCCCCCCCCCCCCCCCCCCCGGTACGTAGTTGTATATCTTCGTTGCAGGTCCTTCTAGTTGTGGGATGTGGGATGCCACCTCAATGTGGCCTGATGAGCGGTGCCATGTCCGCGCCCAGGATCCGAACCCTGGGCCGCCCAGGTGGAGCGCGCGAACTTAACCACTCCGCCACAGAGCCGGCCCCTGCTTATTGTTCTTAAAATCAGGAATGTGTGCTGAATTTTTGGCATCTAGGAGGATGATGGTATTTTTTTCTTCTTTAATCTTCTAACATTGAATTATTTAGTATATTTTCTAAAATTGAATCATCCTCGCATTTCTTCTTTCTTTAGATAAATTCTTTTATTGATGCATTTTTCTCCTAATTTTAGGTTGCATTTCTTGTTTCTTCATGTATTTTTAGTAATTTTTTATTAGATACTGGACGTTGTGAATGTTATGTTGTTGAATGCCTGGATTTTGTTGTCTTCCTTTAAAGAGTGTTGAAATTTGTTTTATTTTGCAGTTAAGTTACTTGTGGGTCAGCTTGACCTTTTTGAGCCTTCTTTCTGAGTTTTAGACTCTCGACCTGCACTTATACCCGTGCTTTATACTATTAAAGAATGACCCTCCTGTGGTCTGTTTTGAAGTCCTGGATACCTGGGTGTCTTTTGAAGCTCTCTCTGCTTAGGCTGCATGGAACTTGAATATCTCCTAGCCTTGTGACATGTCTGCGATTGTTCAGCTTACAACTCCCACAACATTCAGCAACAGAATCAAGGGGACTCTCCAGATTTCTGGAGCTCTTTTTCTGTGTAGCTTCCTCCTCAATGATACTCTACCATGCTAATTCCAGCCGCTTCAGACTTAGTAAACGGAGTTCTGATTCCTCAACTCAGCAAGACTGCTGCATTTCCTTTCCCTGTGCCACAGTTTAAAGTGCCTCCAGGCAGAAAGCTGGGGCAGCTGTTGAGTTTACTTTGTTCCTCTTGGTCATCACAGTTCAGTGCTTATTACTCAATGCCTGAAAATATCTATTTTATATATTTTGTCTCATTTTCTAGTTTTCTGTGTCAAGAGGGCATGACTGGTATCAGTTATTCCATCATGGCAGATGATACATCCTTTTAATATACTGCTGAATTTTATTTGGTAATGGTTTATTTCAGATTCATTAAATCATGTTTATAGTGAGGTTGGTTTATGGCGGTGGCGCTCATTTGTGAGTAGTACTACTGGCCTGGCTCTACTCCTCTCCCTTTGGGAAGATTAGAAATGTAAGAGGGACTTTTGTTTGTAGCAATGACTGGGAGTCACAGATGGCATTTAGTGGATGAGAGCACAGGATACAATGTCTTGTAATGCAGTGGTCTGAATTTTCTCCCCTCACCTCTTTTCTTTGTGCTTTTTTGTCCAGTTTTGGTAACTGGCTTCTATAAGCTTTCTAAAATGAGTTGAGAAGCTTTCCATCTTTTTCTGAACCCTAAATATTAGGAACTACTCCTTGAAGTTTTGGTGGAACTCATGCTTAAAACCAACTATTCCTAGTATCTTTTAGGTAGGCCTTTGACTTGTAGTTATTTTGTATAGTCAGATTTTCCTGAGTCAGTTTGGGTAACTTATATTTTCCTAGAAAAACCACGTATTTCATTTACATTTTCAAGTCTTTTTGATATAAAGTTTTAACAGTGTGCATGTGTGATTTTTTAAAAAAATCTGCAGTTATATCTTTTTTCATTTCTCAAACTATTTTTATTTCTTCCAATAGATTTGGCAGAACTTTATTGAATTCTCTTTATTTTAATTCCTTTTTTACTTTTTTTAATGTTTACTTTGTCCCTTTTGATAACTTCTTGATTTAATTGCCTCTTTGATATATGTTTGGTTTTATTTTTGGTATATGGCACTGGCCTATGCTTGCTCTTGCTCTTAAACTTATGGCTTGCACTTAGTTTCTCTAGGGGTTCTTTGGGGGAAGAATGGCTCATAACTACTGCATAGTTGTCTCTTGTACCTCTTTTGGATTGCAAATTTAGCCCTCTAGTATTAGTGTTTATCTGATCAAATGATACATGAGTACAGAGCTTAATGTTCAGAAAATCGCTAACTTAATCACTGTCTCCAGTTCAAGACCTCTCCACCTCTCAAGATTAATCACTGCTGTCAGTTTGATATGTGCCTTTCGACCCTTTTCTATGCTGCTATTTATAATCTATATCATTCTTAGAAATGTAAACAGCATAATGTCTATGTGTGTATATGTGTATTTTGGTAATAAATGGTATTATACTGTATTTGTTATTCTTAACCTTCTCTTCTCACTCAGCAGTATGTCTTGCAGATCTTTCCATGTCAATACATGTAAATCCACAATATAGAATTTTTAGTAACTGCATAGTATTCCATGGTATGTGTATACCATAGTTTATGTAAACATCTACTTATTAATGAAATTTAGGTATTTCCAGGAATTTTTTTTGTACTCCTATAAGCACTGCAGCTGTAAGACATTCTTTCTTCCCCTCTGTAGATATTACTTTATAAGAAATGGAATTAAATGGGCCATAGAGATGTATTTTTTTATGGGTTTTGCCAGTTTGCCCCTTAGAACGTCTGTACCAGTATACATTTCTTCCAGCAATACCAATTTTTGATATCTTTGGTCTAGTTTTATTACTGTTTTTGACAAACTAATACATGAATCAAAGTAACTCATTCTCTATCTGGTTTCTACCTTCCTAAAATTCTTAAAAATTCCTACCCACTGTTGGCATCTTTCTGTGCTGTAGTGAATATTATTTTATATACATTGTTTTTCTTTTTTCCATATATATCTTTGCTATCATCTTAATGTGACTTAGAAGACAGGGGAAGGGAACAAATGTTATTAACGCACTATCCTGAACTGTCATGGATGCTGGATTATCGGCTATGAGTACTACTAACCTACTCTTGCATGGCAGCCTCTACATTCCCACAATTCAATCTTTATGTGTTATGGACCTCTGGGGCCAACTATTAAATGCTAGAAATGGCAAATACAAACTCTGTGAATGCTAGAATTCTGCTGCACTTTGTGCAGAATGGTAATGAACCTTTTCTGAGAGAATCATTATTAAATCAGGGAATCTGTTACATTAATAAGATGTACTAGTAATGACTTCTGAAATTTTTATTTTTAGGTATTAGAATATTTAAATGATCTGAAGCAATATTGGAAAAGAGGATATGGGTATACTATTAATAGTCGATCCAGCTGCACCCTGTTTCAGGATATCTTTCAGCACTTGGACAAAGCAGTTGAACAGAAACAAAGGTAAAAACTTTAAAAAAAATTTTCAATGTATATTCTGAGTGCCCAATTAAGCTTCTAGAAAATGTTTCATAATAGAGGATTTAAAAAAATAGATTTTGCTTGGGTTTTTTTTTTTTTTTTGAGGAAGATTAGCCCTGAGCTAACATCTGCCACAATCTTCCTCTTTTCGCTGAGGAAGACTGGCCCTGAGCTAACATCTGTGACCATCTTCCTCTGTTTTATGTGGGACGCCTGCCACAGCATGGCTTGACAAGTGTTGCATAGGTCTGCACCTGGAATCCAAACTGGTCAACCCTGAGCCGCTGAAGCGGAACATGCCAACTTAACCACTGCACCACTGTGCCGGCCCCTTGCTTGTGTTTTTAAGAAATATTTTAGTATAATAATTGCACTTACAAAAGAATTAGATGACATATGTAAGTTATAAAGCCTATAAATTCTCCATTCAACCCAAGAACTAGAACATTACTAATAATTTACATTTGTTTATTTATGTGTTTCTCAGTAGTTCCATTTTCCTCCCTCTCCTTGCCCCCTCGATTCCCTATCCCCTGTCATTACTATTCTGAATTTGGTTTAAGTTTTTATTATGAATGCATGTGTGCCCCAAACAATATGTTTAGTTTTGCTTAGACTCTTATGCTTATTGTCTTCTAGGACTTGTTTTTTTTCCCCCTCAACATTATGTTTATGATATTCATCATGTTGTGTTGCATATACTATAGTTCATTCATTTTTACTGTAGTGCAATATCAATAATGTGTGATATTCAGTGAATAAATATGGCAATTTATACCATCTTCTGTTGTCAGTGGGCATTTGGGTAGTTTCTATTATTGCTATTATAAACAGTATAATTGTACATGGCTCCTCATATGAATTATGAAATGTTTTTATTTTAAATGAGAATGTCTCATTGAAAAGCCTTTGTTAACATTCAATACTTTTCAAGATTTTTTTAAAAAACTTTTTATAATTTGAACCTTTGATAAGAGCCTAACCCCTATTTTATTTGACAAATATGCTTCCCTGAATACTTATACATTCACAACTGGAGATGAAAATGTGCTGTAAAGATTGAGACAAGAAGACTGAAGATGGCGTATTTGATTGTGTTTGCAGTATTTTTATATGTGTATGTATGTATGTGTGTGTGTATATATATATGTAGAGAGAGAGAGAAATTTTGTGTGTGTGTGGATAAGACTAGTTTGTGGAATTTTCTTGGGTTAGATGGGAGTTAGGGAAGAAAACCAGACTGAGTATTTAGTTACTGCGACCAAACACTTTTGTGGGGCACAAAGCCAAGGCAAGTTCTGTCTTTGAGACAGGCATTAACTTCTTTCCTCCTTGGTTTTATGAATGGTCTAAAACCCTTAGACTTTATGAGATAACAGAGCTTTGTTATTTGTTCACTGTTTGTCCCATTGTTGAATGGGAGGTGTGCAAACTTAAAACGGTGTCCGAAAGATTCTTAGATAACTTTTGTAAGATTTGCTATTACAATTTGATAGATTTAAAGCTTAAGTAAGAAGTTTATCATTGGTGCTTTAAAATAAGTGAGTATTTATGTACACTGAAAACTACAAAACATTACAGAGAGAAATTAAAGATGACACAAATAAATGCAGAGATACACTGTCTTTATGGATTGGAAGATTCAGATTGATCATCTGTAGACTGAGTGCAATCGCTATCACAGTCCCAGGAGGTCTTGTAGAAATTGAGAAGCTTATTCTGAAATGTATACAGAAATGCAAAGGACCTAGAAGAACTGAAACAATTTTGAAACAGAAGAACAAAAGGACTTATAAATACCTTACTTCAAACTTATTTTAAAACTGTTGTTATTACTACCATCAAGTCGATTCCGACTCCTAGTGACCATGTGTACAGCAGAGCGGAACCCTGCCCTGGCCTTTTTGCACCGTCCTCTTACCTTCTGGTGCTGTCTCAGACAATGCGCCGCTGCTATTCACTGGGTTTTTATCATCAGTTTTTTCAAAAGTGAGTGGCCAGGTCCTTCTTCCTAGTCTGCGTTAGTCTGTCTTATCTGCTGAAACCTGTCCACCATGGGTGATTCTGCTGGTATTTGAAATACTAGTGGCATAGCTTTCAGCAACACGCGGTGCCACAGTATGACAAATGACAGACAGATAGTGCGGTTCCCTGACTGGGAAATGAACCCAGGCCAGGCAGTGAGAGTACCTGAATCTTAACCATTAGAACACCAGGGCTGGCCATATTTATGTGTAATGATATAAATAAACTAGTTTATGCCATTTCATTTTCTAACTTATTGTCGATGTGAGTGACCTTATGTGTTAATTATAACTACAATAATGCTGTATAACAAACAACCGCAAAAAAATTAGCAGCATACAATAATCATTTCTTTAGCTCACATGTCTACATCTGCTAATACACTTGGAGCTGGCTTTTTGTGACTTGGCTGCAGCTGCTTAATTCTGCTCTGTGTGCTTCTCCTGGGAAGAGCAGACTAGCCCAAGCCTTTTTTTCCCTCACATTGATGGCTGAGGTGCAAGAGAGAGTAAGGAATACTCAGGTTCTCTTAAGGCTGTGTTCAGAACTGCTGCTTTAGGGGCTTTTAGGACTCAGCCCCGTGGCTGAGTGGTTAAGTTCATGTGCTCCGCTTTGGCAGCCCAGGGTTTCACCGGTTTGGATCCTGGGTGCGGACATGGCACCGCTTATTAGGCCGTGCTGAGGCGGCATCCCATATGCCACAACTAGAAGGACCCACAACTAACAATACACAACTATGTACTGGGGAGCTTTGGGGAGAAAAATGGAAAAATAAAAAAAAGATATATTTAAAAAAAAAAAAAGAACTGCCACTTTAGTCTTCGCCTTAGTCTGTTGTCCAATGTAAGTTACATAAATGAACCTGAAGTCAAGGATTAGGAAAGATAGTCCATCTCTTTAGTGCAAAGGACAAGTCATGTGGAAAAGGGTGTGGATCCTCTATTATTTGGGGAGAAGTGAATATTCTACCACAGTTTGTCCTCTTGTTTTCAAATATTTACTGCCAGTGTAATAATAGTTTACATTCTTTAGCCAATACAAAGCTTTCATAACGTCACTTTCCAAAAAAAGACCAAAACGGAAACTTAGAAATATCAATAGTTGTCAGAAATCAAGGAAGTATCATTTTTCATTTACTTTCCATGATCAATGTATATTTCATCACATGACCCCCCCCCCTTGCTGGCTTTTTGATATCACATAAAGTGACAGCTCCAAATTCTGTCTCCTTGATATTAAATGAAGTATTTTAATTAAGTGAAAATATTTTTAAGAATATATGTAATACACATTTTTATATATAAATATTTAGGAAAATAGATGACTGAGTTCATGCTGATATCTCCAACTGTAATCCATTACTACGAAGATTGTTCTGGGCTCCTCCTCCTGCTTATCCATAAATTCTCATGCCAACAATAAGAAATCTGGCTGCCACCATCCACCACACTTTCACTTAATTGTTCAGTCCCTTATACACGTCTAATAGTATGAGAATTACTAACCTTTACCCTACGGGATGCGAATTTAGCAACTGCACTACATTGCTTATGTGCAGTTTGTTGTCTTTGGTTTTACAGACTCCAGTCCTATCCAAAGTTGCTTAGGTCAGTAACTTTTCCCCCTACCCCTTCAGTGAGGTTGTTTCATATATTTGTAGTACATTTAGATTGTTTTGTCACATTCTACATTCAGTTCTGGGATTCCCCCAGCCTTATAAATGATTTTTTAAGTTTGAATACACTAATTTTGTCTCCCTTGTGCATAAAGTTCACTGGATTTTTGATAAATGCATAGTGTCATGTATCAGTGGTTACGGTATCGTACAGAATAGTTAAACCACCCTGAGAATCTTGTGGCTTCACTTATTCAGTCATCCCTCTCCTCCCTGCCCCCTAAACCACTGGAAACCGCTGATCTCTCTTGTGTGTCTATAGTTTTGCCTTTTCCAGAATGTCATATGATTATTACCATACAGTGTGTAGTCTTCTTGAACTGGCTTCTTTCAGTTAGAAATAGTGCGAATTTAAGATTCATCTATTTCTTTGTGGCTGCATAGCTTATTTTTTAAAATCACAGAATAGTGTTTCCTTGTGTGGATGTACCACATTTTGTTTATTCATTCCCCTTCTGAAGAAGATCTTGGTTGCTTCTAGGTTTTGGTGATTATGAATAAAACTCTTATAAACATCTGCATTCAGGTTTTTGTGTGAACATAAATTTTCAGATCAAATGGGTATATACCTAGAAGATCAATTGTTAGATCACGTGGTCTAACTTTGTTCAGCTTTGGAAGAAACTGCCAAAATGTCTTCAGAGTGGTTGTACCAGTTTACGTTCCTACCAGCAATGAATGAGAGTTCCTCTTGCTGTACAACCTCATTAGCAATTGATATTGTCAGATTTTTTGCATTTTAGCCGTTCTAATAGATGTGTAATGGTACTTCATTGTTTTAATTTTCAATTTTCTAATGACAAGTGATGTTGAGCATCTTTTCGTATGCTTATTTGTCATCCGTGTATCTTCTTTGGTTAGATGTCTGTTCGTACTTTTTGCCCATTTTTAAATTGAGTTGTTTTCTTATTGTTGAGTTTTAAAAGTTCTTTGTATATTTTGGATACAAGTTCTTTATCAGATATATGTTTGAATAATATTTTCTGCCAGTCTTTGGCTTGTCTTTTCATTCTCTTAACAGTATCTTTCACAGAGCAGAAGTTTTTAAAAATTCAAATTGTCTTACTTGTTTTTCTTTCGTTGATTATGCTTTTGTATTGTCTACCATTTTATTCTACCTTATTTCTAAATTACTCACGCTTGTTCTTTATCATTTTTTAGAGAAATCATGACTTCTATGGAGATATCCATATGTTACTGATTTCACCGCCACTGTTTATTTTTACTTCTTTCTTTTTTTTTGGAGGGTAAGATTTGCCCTAAGCTAACGTCTGTTGCCAGT